GCTTGGGGAAGACAAGGAAGGAGCTGGCTCCATGGCAGTGTCACCAAGGCCAGCCATGTGGCAGTTTCCTGATTGGCTGCCACGGTGGTACAATTTGCATATGGTCTGATTGGCCAGCCTCAACATTACAACATTCTGATTGGTTCCCACTGTGGTATAATTTACCATATGGTATAATTTACGCATATGGTTTCTGATAGGCTATCGTCAACATTCTAACGTTCTGAAGTGGCCGAGAGGGAAAAGGTAAGTGTCTGAGGCTTTCAGGAATGGTGGGTGTTGAAGACTAAAAATGGTAGGCCTCGGTTGGCAAGGCCTGACTAAATAAAGGTAGGCCTCGGTTGGCAAGGACCGACTACAAAAGGTAAGCCTCGGTTGGCAAGGCCTGACTAAAAAAAGTAGGCCTCGGTTGGCAAGTCCTCACTAAAAAAGGTAAGTCTCGGTCGGCATGGCCTGACTATAAAAGTTAGGCCTCGGTTGGCACTCTACATTGCAGACCAGGCCCAAACTTGGCACACAGAGTACTCGTGACCCACTCTACTTCCTGATGCAGTTCTAAGCGGATGGACCATGGATGATGGGATATGCAGTACCTTCACTCACTTACTGAAATCACTGCGACCATCATCCAATGACCAATAAAGACCAAACTTGGCACACATAACCCCCATGACCCCCTTTACATCCTGGTGAAGTTTGGTGGAGGACAGACAATGGATGATGGGATTTGTACTACTTTCAAACCCATTGGTTCCCACAGATCACTGTGGCCCCCAACAAAGACCGATAAAGACCAAATTTGGCACACAGAGTCCCAATGACCCACTCTACATCCTGGTGCAGTTTTGAGGGGGATGGGCCACAGATGATGGGACTTGCAGTACCTAAACACACTTGCTGAGACCACTGAAACCCTCCCCAATGACTGATCTAGACCAAACTTGGCACAGACAGCCACCATGATCCACTCTACATCCTGTTGTGGTTTGAAGGAGGATTCACCATGGATGGTGGGACCTCCAGTACCTTCACACACTTCATGAAACCACTGTGACCCTCACCAATGACAGAGCAAGATCAAACTTGGCACACAGAGTCCCCATAACCCACTCTAAATGCTGGTGCAGTATGAAAGACTTTAGACCATGGATGATGGGAGTTACAGTATTGTAACTCATTTCTTCAGACTGTTCCGATCTACACCAGTGACTGAGCAAACTTGAACTTGGCATACAAAGATTCCATTACCCACTCTACATCCTGATGTGGTTTGTACGACAATGCACCATGGATGATGGGATTTGCAGTACCTTCATTCACTTCCTGAGACCGCTGCGACCCATACCAATGACCAATCAAGAAGAAACTTGAAACATTGAAACACAAAGTCCCAATGACCCACCCACCATCCTGGTGCAGTGTGGAGGAGGATGCACCATGGACGATGGGACATGTATATGAGAGTTGTAGTTCACCTGCACCCACTGATCCACCAGACATTGGATCTAGACTAAAACTACAGAACAGACAAACAAAGCCTATCTCAAATAACCCGGGCAGCGCCGGGTCCCCAAGATAGTCTATATATCTATATCTATACATATAATAAAAGTGAATGTATGTATGCGGAGGGCGGACGTAGAGATGTATGTGGCAGCTTTCTGATTGGCTGCCACTGTGGTACAATTTGCGTTATGGTCTCTGATTGGCCAAACTCAACATTCCAACATTCTCAAGTGTCTCAGAGGAGAAAGAAAATTTGCATATGGTTTCTGACTGGTCAGCCTTAACATTCTAACATTCCCAAGTGAATGAGGGGAAAGGATAGGCCCTGAGGGATTTGCAGTACCTTCACTCACATTCTGAGACCAGTGTGACACTCATCCAATGACTGATCAAGACCAAACCTGGCACACAGAGCTTGCAGGACCCACTCTACATCCTACTGCAGTTTGGAGGAGGATGGACCATGGATGATGGGACTTGCAGTATCATCACTCACTTTCTGAGACCGCTGTGACCCTCATCCAATGACTGATCAAGACCAAACTTGACACACAGAGCCCCCATGATCCACTCTACATACTATTGCAGTTTGGAGGAGGATGGACCATGGATGATGGGACTTGCAGTACCATCACTCACTTTCTGAGACTGCTGTGACCTTCATCCAATGACTGCTCAAGACCAAACTTGGCACATAGACCTCTCATGACCCACTTTATGCCCTGGTGTGGTTTGGCCGGAGATGGACCATGGATTATGGGACTTCAAGTATCTCCACTCATTTCCCAAGACTGCTGCAACCCTCATCTAATGACCGATCAAGACCAAACTTGGCACACAGAGCCCCCATGAGCCACACTACATCCCGATGCTGTTTGGAGGACGGTGGATGATGGGACTTTCAGTACCTTCACTAACTTCCTGAAACCACAGCAACACTCATCCAAATACCAATAAAGACCTAACGTGGCACAGAGAGCCCCCATGGCCAACATTCTGATGAGGTTTGGGGGAGAACAGACTATGGATGGTGGGACTTGCAGTACCTTAACTCACTTTCTGAGACCACTGTGACCCTCATCCAATGACTGATCAAGACCAAACTTGGCACACAGAGCCCCCATGACCATCCTGGTGCAGTTTGGAGGAGGATGGACAACAGATTATGGGACTTGCACTACCTTTACTAACTTCCTGAGATCACCGTGAGCCACTGAAATAACTGATAAAGACCAACCTTGGTACACAATGCCTTTCTCAAATAACCCGGGCACCGCCAGTCCCCAAGCTAGCATATAAAAGTGAATATTTGTATGTATGTTTTTATGTGGAGGTGTATGTGGCAGCTTTCTGATTGGCTCCCAGTTCCACTGAGACCAACATAAGTGACGGGCTACGATCAAGACCAAACTTGGCACACATAACCCCCATGAACCCCTTTATGTTCTGGTGCCGTTTGGGGAAAGACGGATGAAAGATTATGGGATTTGCAGTACTTTCAAACGCTTTGACTACCACAAACCACTGTGGCCCCCACCAATCACAGATCAGGACCAAACATGGTATACAGAGCCCCCATGACTCACTTTACATCCTTGTGCAGTTTTGGGGAGGACAGACCATGGATGATGCGAATTGCAGTACACTTCATTCAATTTTTGAGACCACTGGCACCAGCATGAATGACAGTACTGGACCAAACTTGGAACACAGAGCCCCCATGACACACTCTACATTCTGGTGCAATTTGAAGGAGGACAGACCATGGATTATGGAACTTGCAGTACCTTCACTCACTTTCAGAGACTACTGCAACCCTCATCCAATGACTGATCAAGATCAAACTTGGCATGAAGAGGCACCATGACCACTCTACATCCTGGTGCAGTTTGGAGGAGGACAGACCATGGATGATGGGACTTGAAGTACCTTCACTCACTTCCCAAGGCTGCTGCGAATCTCATCAATAACTGATCCAGACTAAACTTGGTACACAGAGCCCCCATGACCCACTCTACATCCTGATGCGGTTTGAAGAAGGATGGACCATGCATGATGGGACTTGCAGTACCTTCACTCACTTCCCAAGGCTGCTGCGACCCTCATCAATAACTGACCCAGACTAAACTTGGTACACAGAGTCCCCATGACCCACTCTATATCCTGGTGTGGTTTGAAGAAGGATGGACCATGCATGATGGGACTTGCAGTATCTTCACTCATTTTTGAGAGCACTGCGAACATCATCCAATGACCCATAAAGACCAAACATGACACACAGAGCCCCCATGACCACTCTACATCCTGGTGCAGTTTGAAGGAGGATGGACTATGGATCATGGGACCCACAGTACCTTCACTCACTTCCTGAGACCACTGTGACCCTCATCCAATGACCAATAAAGACCAAACTTGGCACACAGAGCCCCTATGACCCACTCTACATCCTGCTACAGTTTGGAGGGGCCATGCACCCATGGACTTGCAGTATTTTCAAACACTTCCTGAGACTACTGCGACCCTAACTAATGACATTTCAAGATCAAACTTGGCACACACAGCCTCCATGACCTACTCTATATCCTGGCGGAATTGGAAGGTTTTCCTGAGACCACTGTGGCCCTCATCAATGACGGATCAAGATCAAATTTCGCACACAGAGCCCCCATTACCCACTCTACATCCTGGTGCAGTTAGGAAGACTTTGGACCATCGAAGATGGGAATTGCAGTATCTTCACTCACTTTTTGAGACCATTTCAACTCACACCAATGACTGATCAAGCTTGAACTTGGCATACAGAGCCCCCATGACCCACTCTATATTTTGGTGCAATTTGGAAGATGGGACGATGGGACTTGCATATGGGAGTTGTAATTCACCTGCACCCACTGAACCCAGCTGACATTGGATGTAGACTAAACATGGAGCACAGACAAACAATCCCTTTCCCAAATAAACCAGGCATCGCCGGGTCCTCAAGCTAGATCTTAATATAACTGGCAGTTGTTTCATATTCTTCAAAAAGAACAGAGGAAAGTCCACATGAAGGGAGCATCTGATGCACTAATAAAACTAAAAATAATCTAAACAGACACAGAATTGATCACTCATTTGAATGAGAAATCACTGAGGGAAAACAATAAATAGAATAAAATAACTTTATTGTCATTGCACATTGTACAATGAAATCAAATACCATCTCCAATCACATTAATATATATGTATATACACACACACACATTTCTGAATGGCAGAAGAAATGTTAAATCTCATGAGTTCTACTCACACAAACTTAGGAGGAAAACTATAATGACTATATTGACTATCATGTCTCTAAAAATGCAAGAAGATAAACATTATTGTTTAGAACCTTGAAGGGACTCTTTCTATGCCATTATGGTCAGACATGTGAATGCAATAAATGAAATGAATAAACATCATTATAAAGAAAAACAGGTATTATTTTTGGAATTTAAAGTTCCTTTAAATACCTTACTGTCTAATTTTAGAATGACTCTTCCAAGCCCTGTGATAGGCCACGGTGCAAGAGCTTCCTGACGCTCTCTTACAAAGTTTTCCATGACATGCCACCAACTGCTGCAGTGGCTCACCAAGAACTGCACAACTCCAAAGTGAATCACAAGTTTTTTGATGATCCACACTGCAATTAGAAAACACATAGAATTTTTTAAAAAAAGAATTCATGCAGCAACACTGCAGCCTACTAAATTTTCATTCTAGGCTGCACTCTAATAATAAGAAATAAAATCTTTGAATAATATCCCTGTCTTCATCACAATCACAATACTTTCGAGAGTAGTAACTTATACAGTAAGCACTGCACATCTGAGGAGATGGTTGGGCACAAGATCCATACAAAAGTGAAAAACATAACTAAAAATACTAAAACCTTAAATACTTAAAACCTGAGAGAACAGCTCTCCGAGAGTCTCTTAAGTATTCCAGCATGACTCTATGGTCAATTCCCAGGACACTGAAGGATCTTGGGATTCCTAAAGATAACATTTTAATTTTTCACCATAGATTATGCTGGCAAATTTTGATCATATCTGGGGGATTTACAAGTTCCCAGCTTCAAACCAGAGGTAGATATAGATAAACAGTCAATAAGCATTCTTCATTAAGAACTTTAAAGTTCCCTATCTATTTCCTAGCCCAGTTCAAAGTGCTTCTCCCTATATAGTTGTACTTGTACATCTAGAACACACAACTGAATGCTTCCATTTAATGGCAAGCAGCTAGCAGCCAGAGGAAGGGTCTTCTTGGGTGACTGAACCCTGCTCTTGAAACTCCTCCCCTAGGAGACCCACCTCACATCTATCAGATCATTCTTTCACACTAAAGGAAAACAATTTTCATTTTCCACAATTTTTAGACACAATTTCATGACATTTTTATGATTCTCTCTTAGCTTATTATGGTTTTTCAATTTGAATTTAAATAATTATTTTATTCTTTTTGTAACTCATCATGGGAATATGACTGCATAAGTTACTTATTACAAATCTTTAAATAACATACCATCATTTTAAAATGTCTAAGAACAAGGCATTCCATGGGGTTTGCACTTTGGAATTCCAACATCAGGTTTTGGGCAATCTTACAACTGATTATACTGCTGTGCATAAAATATAAACATATCTCTTTCTAGTAGTCTGAAATCCAACATGCTTTATACTAGCTCCCTCAAGTGGTAGTCTTATGTGTTGATGTAAAAAGAAACTAGAAAACTTAGTAACAGATTTCCATTAATAGAATGGCCAATTTAATGGCTTGTATACAGTATATCTGTCAACCTATACAAAGTGATAAGGCAGGATCCCCATGCCATTCCTCCCATCATTAGTAAAAAAAATGGGAACCAGTGAAGTGCTTCCTATACTGGCCCTATGTAGTCTACAGGGTGCATTCCTGAAACTGTCTAACCATTATATGTTGCACTAGTTGTAATTCCTAACAATTAAAAGCATCATGGGCAGCTAGCTGCATGCAGAATGCAGAACAGGCAGTCTCCAAGTTACAAACAAGATAAGTTCTGTAAGTTTGTTCTTAAGTTAAATTTATATGTAAGTTGGAACAGGCACATTTTAAAAGTATATCTCCAGCCATATGTATATGTATGGGTATGTGTGTGTATGTGGTTTGGATAGCATAGGGAAGGGCTAACATCCCCCTGTGGTGTTTCTTTTGCTCTCGATGCCAATGTTTAGAAGATTTCACCTTACTTTCTGTCCCTGAGATAATGGATTTTGAAAAAATTGGGTTGTTGAGGAAACAAGGATTTGTGAAAAGGCTTCAGTGGAGACACCTTTTCCCCAAGATAAATCTTTCAGGAGTGAATTTCCCTTCCTAGCAATATATTTCTCTCACTTCCTGTTGTCTCACTCCCATTCTTAACTATGAGTCATTTGTAAGTTTGATGCTTGTAACTCGGGGACTACTTGTAGCTGAAAATGAGCTACAAAGCAATACTATCCATGCAAAGTATTAAAGCAAGGAAGGGAGGGTGGTTGTTGGTTTTTTTTTTGTGAAGAAGTCCCGTTCTTAACTATGAGTTGTTTGTAAATCTGGTGTTTGTAACTTGGGGACTGCCTGTACAGTAAAAGGTTGATTACAGTTTTGTTTCTGGTGTTCTTCAACAGCTCTATGGCCTTCACCATAGTGGAGTTTGGAGTGTGACTGTTTTGAGGTAGTGGACAGGTGTCTTTTATACTAATAACAAGTTCAAATAGGTGCCATTACTACAGGTAATGAGTGAAGGACAGAGGAGCCTCTTAAAGAAGAAGTTACAGGTTTGTGAGACCCAGAAATCTTGCTTGTTTGTAGGTGACCAAATACTTATTTTCCACCATAATTTGCAAATAAATTCATTTAAAATCAGACAATGTGATTTTCTGGATGTGTTTTCTCATGTTGTCTCTCATAGTTGAGGTCTACCTATGATGTCAATTACAGGCCTCTCTCATCTTTTAAAGTGGGAGAACTTGTACAATTGGTATCTGACTAAATACTCCCCCCCCCCCGCCCCCACTGTACCTGTTAAGGATCCTGCATTGAACAAGGGATTGGACTTGATGGCCCATGAGGTCCCTTCCAGCTCTATGATTCTAGATTACCAAAGTCAGTTGACTAACCCATCCTGAAACTCATCCCCAACAGGTAGTATTTAGGTAACCAACTGACCAATGGTAATTGAGTCTGAGTTTAGTTAAACGCATTTAATCCTTTAAAGCAGTGGTTCTCAACCTGGGGTCCCCAGATGTTTTTCGCCTACAACTCCCAGAAATCCCAGCCAGTTTACCAGCTGTTAGGATTTCTGGGAGTTGAAGGCCAAAAACATCTGGGGACCCCAGATTGAGAACCACTGCTTTAAAGCATTCAGGAAACAATTTTGACATCAAAGATGTTTTCTTCTGTAGAGACAGATCTCTATGGTTATTCAACTAAGTAGAATCACCTGGGAAAGTCCCCTTATTATAATGGGAAAGTCCCCTTATTATACATCACAAACATATCTAACATAGCTTCTCTCTCATCTTTCCACACATGTTTTCAGTTTACTTATGCTAACTTCACATAAGAAATTGGGGGGGGGGGGTTGTTAGTTAACATGGTAGCTCAAATTCTTATGTAAGCTATAATTGCCTTTTACTGAAATCATATTGTTGTACTTTACAATATCAGAAAGTATGGAATAACCTGCAAATGGTATTGGCAGCAACTGAATTATCCAAAGATTCAGCCAAAACTGCACTACTACAACAGCCCAGGTGAGCAGAATAAAGTAGATGTCACTGGTTTTCTTCTTTTTAAGAAGAGCTCCAAAGTCAGGTTTCTGTCTGCCACGCACAGTGGATGAAGCAGGTGAAGATGTATGATCACTTTCTGTAGATCCTGAAAGTGGGAAAACATGATCTCTCATATTTCTGTAACGCTAAAGTTTATCTTGTGGGAGAACTGGTCCAATGACAGGAGAAAAGGGGGAGCAAATAAAATAAAATAAAAGCATATCAAATCATAATAAGCATTTCTACTATTGCACTAAGTCTGAAAAGTTCAATTTGCCAGTATCATGTAAGACTCACTCAAATCAATACATTATTAATAACCCCGTGACGTGTATATTGGGTTTTAAGGTATCAAGAACAAAACCAGTTTAAATGCCTTTTTAAAATCATAAAGAAGCCACTCTTTAAAATTAGCATTATTTTCTACTGGATACAATTTCAAGGCTTAAGTATATAATCAACTCAAAATGAAGGTAATTCTGATACTCAGTATTTTTTATAACAGACAATGTACTCTGGCTTTTGAAATCCAAAACAATTTTTTTCATTGGTATTTATAATTAATTCAAAGGTTAAATCGGGGATTACTCAACCATGTTTAAAAACAAGAATTTTTAAAAGTAGTTTTAAATGGGTTTGTCAATCATGTCTGAATTTATACAATTTCACTACAAGTGCGACACTTTCTGAATATGCAAAAAATGAAAACAGGACAGCATTTCTAAATCAGGATATCAATACAAATGCCCTGCAAAAGATTCCAACCATAGGCAAAGAGTGGACAGGTTGCTTACAATTTTCAAAAATCCTTCCAAGAAAACTATCTCTATTCAAAAGGACACCCTGGAATGCCAACTTTCCAGATAAGACACTTTCACCTAATTCATCATTTGGAAAAACCTCACTGTGACTTTTCTAGACGGCTCCCTGGAAAGCTTAAATTCTTGATAATTTCCCATAATGTGGATGCATTGTCCCAAATTAAGTATTTATTTCTGTGAAATCCCTGTTTCTTACATCACTCTGATCTAATCTTCTGCATCTGGTAAATTTCATGGGCATGTTCACTTTAAAATTTTCCCTAAATGCAGACATTTTATAGAGAATGGTTATGAAAAAGTGGTTGTTATGGAAATTTTGTGGCTTCTCACATCATTCTCATCCAGTTTTCTGCAAACAATGAATTTGGTAGAACCTGGCATGAATATTTTTCTCAAAACACATCCCAATTGTTTTGTCAACAATTTATCTCAAAGTAGACCACATGCCTTTTATCCTTTTCCCACAATCTGAGAGCCTTAACTAGCTTGAAAATCTGATTTTTTTTTTCTGGACATCCAATAAAAATGCATATTATGAAGCCACAAGAAACAGGAGATTCCATGGAACCTTAAATATTAATCTTTTAGTAGCCTTTACTCCTCCTTCACTGCAACAATCCCTTAGATTTATTTGCTGTTTTTGCAAAGAGCTTTGCAAAACAGACTTTCACAAAGCCTTCCTTGAAAAACTAGACTTTTATATACAGTTCTAACACTGACACAGGGAACTGGAAATTGATACAAGAGACAATGACATCTGACTCTGCTACACTAAAACTCTATTCTTACAAATATTATATATTTGCTTTCTTGTCAAGAAACAAAAGTGTGAAACCTACATCAGATTAATGGTCCAATCAGGCACTGAGTGATATGCCACAAGACCTGGCCAACCAGGATGCATAACGTCAGCACAATCACACAAAGATAATTCCAAAGATCAAGCCAAAAAATTAAAATTTTATCAAAATATTTTGAACATTCTTACAGTACATTCAGTCACCTGAGGGTTTTGCTGGACGTTCTTCTTTAGATGATTCATCCCCTGTAAATGATATTGCCATGGCAATTGTGGATGCAGCAATTGAAATCATCTGACAAGGAAGATCTGACCCTTAAAAGACACAAAGGTTTTTTTAAAGTCATGACAGTCTACCAAATTATAAGTTCTGATTTTTGCTGCCCATTTTCCTGCTGAAACTGCATTTTATTTCAGCTGGTGGTATTATTATTATTATTATTATTATTATTATTATTAAGTATAAGTATAAGCATCCCAATTTCTCCTCAGGATTGAGACCCATAGCGGCTTACACCATAAAAAGCTATACAATTACATAGAATTAAAATAGAATTAAACCTGCAACTATTATTAAAACAATTACATTAGAATACAGTGTTCCCTCACTAATCGCGGGTGTTCCATTCCAGGAACACCTGTGATAAGTGAAAATCCCCAATGTAGGGATGCCTGGCTCCCCCTCCACTCCTTCTCCTCCTCTTCCTAAATCTTCATCAACCTTTTACGGGCTTTGAGGTGAGGACGTTGAGGAAAGTCTCAAAGGGGGATCAACATTTGTATGTATTACTCACATAACAACAAAGGACAAATCGCTCCGTTGATTCCACTTTCTATAAACATTTTGTGGATTTAAATCATGATGCAGATTCACTCCGGGTGCTTGTTTTGGAGGTTGTCACACACCCCTCCAATTTAGATTTTGGCATTAAATTACTACAGCGTGAAGCCTTTTGGATCTTCACCCTGAAGACTGCACATCCCAAGGGTCTGAATGATACCATCTCATATCAGTGTTTCTTATAAATCAGAGTACATAGCCCTTTAACACATTCTTGGCTTGATTTACCTGGTTGGAGCCCCTTTAACTGGGTTACTTTATAAACTAGTTTCTACCTGATGACCTTTGTGCTTGCTAGAGAATCAAACTGCTGCAGAGCACAGCTTCTGAGTTCTTGTAAGTAACCTATGCCTGTTTATTTGTCCTTTGTTGTTATGTGAGTAATACATACAAATGTTGATCCCCCTTTGAGACATACTCTAGCCACCTGTGTATTTTCCCTATAGATCCACTGTCCCATTGTATAAAACACCCGAGGAGGGATTACTATTTTGAAGAACTTGATGTCTCATATATCCACCTGAGGAAGACTCCAGTCGAAACCGGTCGTGGATGTGGATATCCAAAAATTTTCTAAAGCAAGGGATCCTATGCCCTGAAGAGAAGTTGGTTTTACACCAAGAAAGACTCTTTACATTACGCTTACTCTAAAGCAAGGGATCTTATGCCCTGAAGACAAGTTGTCTTTACACCAAAAGACTCTTTATGTTATGTATGTGTAATCTTTGTAAACAACTGGTTGTTGTTCATTATACACTGTGTTATGCCTATACCATATAAATTTGTTTGTTTGTTGAATATTGTAATATACAAACTGTTAGGCAATATCGACCATTGTGATTTATGTACCACAACTTTTAGTGGATTTGTGTTTTTTGTATTGGTGGGAATCCACTGTCTTCTTGTGACGCTGAGGAAAGGCCTCAGGAAGGGAAAGAGTGCGCTTGCAATAGTGCCGCTGACAATAACTCCCGTGAGCTCTCCCTCCCTCTGCGTCCACCTCCCGGCCTGGCTGCCTGTCATGTTGCCCAGCAAGAAGAACCAGCTGGTCCCTAAAGAGGTGAGCAGGCCCTCGCCCTCCTGACCCTGTTGCCTCCACCTCCAGTGGCTTTGGGCCTCTGGCCTCTTTGGGGACCAGCTGATTCTCCTCTCTGGGCACCATGGCAGGCAGGCAGGCTTAGAGGTGGAGGCAGAAGGAGGGAGAGCTTGCAGGAGTTGTCGACAGCAGCACTATTTCAGGTGTGCTCTTTCCCTTCCTGAGGGCCGGGCCTGGCCTTTCCTGACGACGACAGGCCTCAGCTGGGCAGGCACACTCTTTCCCTTCCTCCCCGCGTGTCCAAGGAGCCGCCGGAGCAGGAAAGAGGCGGCGGTATGCTTCCCTTGTTCTCGGTGGTAGCCTCCTCTCCTCTTTCTCTTTCCCAGACTAAGCCCCCAATAAATTCATTTTAAAAAAAACAACGCAAAACAGCGAGTCCACGTAAAGTGAACTGTGGAATAGCGAGGGAACACTGTACTGTCAAAATAAATAAATAAAAGCTGTTAAAAACAATAAACTAAACCACGTGGCACCTCTTTTTCCATTATTTAAAAGGCCTGCCTGAATAAAATGTTTTTAGCCTGCTGAGGAGGGACGATGGGAAAGAGGCCATTCTAGTATCTCTGGAGAGAGAACTGAATGAATAAATGAATTTTATTACAGTCATAGACCAGGAGTTTAAAACATTAAAACAGAAGTTTTTTAAAAAACAATAAAAGCTGAAGTTGAAAACATTAAAAACAGAAAGTCCAGGATATGTAACCATCAGCTTCATACATGACACCTAATTAAATATGTGGCTATAGATATTAACTGAGTAGGTCAAAAATTAAACAACAAAAATTATCTGCAATCTGCTTCTTTAATTTGATAGCCGCAGCACAAAACTTAGCCACTCTAAAAGTGATCCATGGTTCCCTATCCACTATTATATATTTAAAGTAATATTCATCATTTCTGCCAGGGATCATCTGTACAATAGGAGTAAAAGCAGATGGAATGCGCTTATAGAAGTGACAGTGTAATAGGTTACTTTACTTACTTAGGCAATCTCTCGTAGTCCGAGGATAATTGTCCTCCAAGTGATGTGTCTTGGAGGTAGGTACGTAGGTGGCTGTGGAGCCCTATTCTTGACCTGCATGTTCTCCTGCAGTGAGAGCATTGGTTTCCAGGTGGAAGGCAGTTGTGGTCGGGCTTAGCTTGATGCGCCTTACTCTTGGCACGTTTCTCTCTTTCGCCCTCCATTTGTGCCTCTTCAAATTCTACAGCATTGCTGGTCACAGCTGACATCCAGCTAGAGTGCTCAAGGACCAGGGCTTCCCAGTCCTCAGTGTCTATGTCAGAGTTATTAAGGTTGGCTTTGAGCCCATCCTTTAATGTCTTTTCCTGTCCGCCAACATTTCGTTTTCCATTATTGAGTCTGGAGTACTGTAGCTTTGGGAGACGGTGATTGGGAATTTGGATAATGTGGCCAGTCCAGCGAAGTTGATGGCGGAGGACATTACATCAATGCTGGTGGTCTTTGCTTCTTCCAGCACGCTGACGTTTGTCTGCCTGTCTTCCCAAAAGATTTGCAGGATCTTTCAGAGGCAACACTGATAGAATTGTTACAGGACTTGCATGTGATGTCTGTAGATAGTCCATGTTTCGCAGGCATATAGCAGGGTTGGGAGGACAATCTATATACCGTATTTTCCAGCGTATAAGATGACTTGGGGTATAAGACAACCCCCAACTTTTCCAGTTAAAATAGAGAGTTTGGGATATACTCACGTATAAGACCACCCCTCTTCCAATGTACACTAGATAAAAATTTTTTAATCATATTTGAATTCAATATGGTAATTTTTATTCAAATGCTTATGACATGCAGGTTCCTATGAGAGGAACATTGTACCTTACATTACAGTTGCTATTCCTCCCTTGAATTTCATTTACACTCTGGGTCCTTTACATCATGCTGGTAATAAGTTAAAATAAACAGTTGCATTAAACAATTCTCATTTAAAGTTATTAAAAAACCAGTCAAGGTAAAGTGTCATATCAGTTCCCTTTTTGCCTTCTCTCAGGCTCCTCCTACTGATGCAGCCTAAAACAGCATTGGCCTTTTCAGCTGCAGCATCACACTGTTGGTTTGTGGTCAACAAAGATTCCTTTCATAGAATCCTAAAGTTGGGAGGGACCTCTAAAGGCCATTTAGTCCAACCCCCTTCATTCCGTCTTCTTGCAGGGAAAGCACAATCAAAGCACTCTCAACAAATGGCTATCTAGCCTTAATATTAATAAGAGAGTTGGAAGAGAGCTCTAAAGGCCATCTAATCCAACCTCCTTTGATTGTGCAGGGAAAGCACAATCAAATCACTTCTGACAGATGGCGATCCAGCCTGAATAATAATAATAATAATAATAATAATAATAATAATAGAGTTGGAAGGGAGCTCTAAAGGCCATCTAGTCAAACCCCCTTCATTCTGCCTTCCTCTAGGGAAAGCACAACCAAAGCACCCCTGACAGAAGGCCATCCAGACTTAATACTACTACTACTACTACTACTAATAATAATAATAATAGACTCAGGACCTCTAAAGACCATCTAGTCCAAGGACCTTCTGCCTTCATGCATGTAAAGCACAATCAAAGCACCCCTGACAGATGGCCACCCAGCCTCAATAATAACAATAACAACATCAACAATAATAACATTAATACTAATAAATAGTTGGAAGATATCCCTTAGGCCATTTAGTCCAACCCCCTTCTGACTTCATGCAGCAAATGCACAATCAAAGCACCCCTGACAGACGGCCACCCAGCCTCAATAATAATAACAACAACAACAACAACATTAATAGTAATAAAGAGTTGGAAGATATCGCTTGGGCCATCTAGTCCAATCCCCTGCTGTCTTCATGCAGCAGGAGCACAATCAAAGTTTCCCTGACATACAGCCACCCATTCTCAATAATAATAAAAACAAGATTCATACTAATAAAGAGATGGAAGAGACCTCAAGGGCCATCTAGTTCAACCTTCTTCTGCCTTTATGTAAAAAATCCACAATCAAAGCACCCCTGACAGACGACTACCCAGCCTCAATAATAATAATAATAATAATAATAACAATAATACTAATAAAGAGTTCGACGAGACCCCAAGGGCCATCTAGTCCAACCCCCTTCTGTCTTCATGCAGCAGAAGCACAATCAAAGCACCCCTGATAGACGGTCACCCATTCTCAATAATAATAAAAACAATAATAAGATTAATACTATTAAAAAGTTGGAAAAGACCTGAAGAGCCAGGTAGTACAACCCGCTTCTGCCTTTATGTAGAAAATCCACAATCAAAGCACCCCTGACAGATGCCCACCCAGGCTCAATAACAACAACAACAATAAAGAGGTTTGAAAGAGACCCCAAGGGCCATCTTTTCCAACTTCCTTATGTCTTTCCCTGCTCCCCCGTTGTCTTCCTCGGCGGCGGCAGCGATGGCAAAGGAGGAGGGAGCCCCGGCGGCAGGGATTTCCATGGCCTTGCTGTCCTCCTCTCTTGGCCCACACACGGGGGCAGTGGTGCGAGGAGGCAGAAAAGCCGCACATGGAGTGAGAGAGGGAAAGGCACGCACCTCTCCCCCTTCTCTCTTGCCCCACACACGCCTTCCTTGGCGGTGGTGGTAGAGGCGCGAACGGGGCAAGAGAGGAGGGAAAGGTGCGCACCTTTCCCTTCTCCCTCACGTACCTTTCCTGCCTCCACCACCGAGGAAGGCATTGGCGAGGGAGGAGGAGGGAAAGGTGCACACCTGCGGAGGCCTGCACTGGCGTAAGCAGTGAGCGGACGACACAGCCGAGGCAGTGGAGGAGAACCTCTGCTCGCAGTGGCCTACCTGCCTGACTTCCAGGGCTGCACAGGCCAGCGCTGGCTGCAGAGGCCTGCACTGACCTCTGCAGCTGGTGAGCGCGCCCACTCCTGCTACTTCCTGCAAGGCTTCCAGCCTCTATCTACATTCTCCAGGAGCAGCATGGTGCGGGCCAGACGCTCCGTTGGGCCCCAGCTGGGCCCAGTGAGGAAAGAGGCAGCGTAAGGAAGGAGGCCCGAGGGCAGCCTTCCTCATGCTGCATCCCTCCTTCCTGGGCCCAATTGGGGCCAATGAAGCATCTGGCCCACGCCGTGCTGCTCCTGAACGCTGTAGGCAGAGGGTGGAAACCTCGCCGGAAGCAGCAGGGGCGGGTGCGCTCACCAGCTGCGAAGGTCAGCGCAGGCCTATGCAGCCAGCACTGGCCTGCACTGCTCTGGAAGTCAGGCAGACAGGCCGCTGCAAGCGGAGGTTCTCCTCCACTGCCTCAGCTGCGTTGGCTCCGCTGCCATTCGTCATCTGGTATATCCGGAAGATAAAATGACCCCCAAATTTTCCAAGGGTTTTCAAGGTTTAAAAAGTCGTCTTATAGTCCGGAAAATATGGTATATAAAATACTCTGTTCATTTTGAGTGACATCATAACTCAAAATCCTCTGGGTAAATTGATGCCAAATTTGACCACAAGACACCTACTAACCCAAGGAGTGACTATCACTCAAAAAATTGATTTTGTTATTTGGGAGCTGTAGTTGCTGGGATTTATAGTTCACCTACAAGCAAAAGCATTCTGAACTCCACCAACGATGGAATTGAACCAAACTTGGCACACAGAACTCCCATGAGCCACAGAAAACACTACAACGGTTTGGTGGGCATTGACCTTGAGTTTTGGAGTTGTAGTTCACCTACATCCAGAGAGCACTGCGGAATCAAACAACGAAGGATCTAGAACAAACTTGGCACGAATACTCCACATGCCCAAATGTGAACACTAGTGGAGTTTGGGGAAAATAGACCTTGACATTTGGGAGCTGTAGTTGCTGGAACCCCACCAATGATAGAATTGGGCCAAACATCCCACACAGAAACCCCATGACCAAAAGAAAATACTTTGTTTTCTGGTGGTCTTTAGCAACCCTTCTGATACCCCCTCGCGACCCCCCCCCCCGAACCCTAGGTTGAGAAATGCTGTCTTAAGGCCATTCAGTCCAACTCCCTTCACCAGGGCAAGAAAGCATAATCCTGACAAAGGGCCATCCAGCCACTCGCATATATGACAGGTGTAGTATCATAGAACTGAAAGGGATCCCTATAGAAAGACAACTACATGTTGCATGTTCCAGAGCAGGCAAGTCAGACAATCTCTACATCAACACAGACAAAGAAACAACAAGAAATACTGTTTACCCACAAGTAAAACAAAATTACATATATTAGAAACCCACTTTATTACTTTATTTTCCAGCTTTATAAACAGGTACCTTGGTATCCCTACAGATGTCCCAGTCCTCAAACACTGGGCTTTATTTGGAAAAATGCTGCACTCGCAGAACTTAGGCGGTGTTGTATTTCAGTGTTGACTTTTGTGGAGAGGTGGCTGCCAAGGTAGTGGAAATGGTTCACATTTTCTAATGTTACACCATTAAGCTGTACTTCTGACATTGCAGACGGATTGGCTAATGCCTGCTGGAAGAGCACTTTGATCTTCGCAATGTTCAATGAGAAAACACTGAGCTTCTCATATGCTTCTGCGAAGGTGTTTAGAGTGGCTTGTAGGTCGTCTTCTGGATGCATACAGACGACACTGTCATCAGCATACTGGAGTTCTATAACAGCTGTTGTTGTAACCTTAGTTTTTGGCTTTCAGTCTGCTGAGGTTAAATAGCTTGCCATCTGTCCGATAAACAGTGGGAAGCTTCCCATCAACAAGATGGAGTATCATAGCAATGAAGATGGAAAATAAGGTTGGGGTAATAACACATCCCTGTTTGACACCTGATTCCACCTCAAATGGGTCACTTTGGTAGCCATTGCTATCCAAGACTGTTGTTGTTGTTATTGTTGTTATTGTTGTTATACTACTACTACTACATTTATACCCCGTCCTTCTCACCCCAATGGGGGACTCAGGGCGGCTTACAGACCATGGCATACAAAGCCACATTACACATATAATAATAAACATGACAAATCAATTTAAACAATTAGCATATCAATTTAAACATACAGTAATATACATGACATATCAATTGAACAATTCAAATATAAATACAATAAAAAGCTTAAAAGTAAACATTCAATCCCAACCAAAGTGGGCTGATAACATATAACTTAAATGATCAATTGAACAATTCAAATATAAATACAATAACACAGCTTAAAAGTAAACATTCAATCCCAAGTGAAGTAGCCTGATGGAATAAGCAACCAGAAGCAGCAGGTAACAGGCGAGGCGGGGGAACCCTGAAAACAAGCACCTGCACAGGTGTTCCAATGTCCGGATGATGGGCGGCATGGCTGTTAAAGTAGCCGCGGGGCAAGGCCCTGACATGGAGGTACCCCGTGTAGATGTTCCATCAGCTGGGCGATGGGTGGCGTGGCTGTTAAGGTTGTCGCACTGCGAGGCTGTGGGGGCCATGTTCTCTCCTCGGAGGCTTCTGGATCAGATGGCTGGAATGAGCTGGAATGAGCAGATGGCTGCAAGTCTCCTCGTGGGTAAACCCAGGGCTGAGCAGGCAGCAAAGCTGGATGGCAAATACTCTGCCCCTAGGGTCTCTTCTGCAGCAGGGCTCAACAAAGCTGTTGCCATCATGTCATCATGGAGGAGCTGTAGAATGTTCACAAATTTGTCAGGGCAGCCGATTTTTTTGTAGGATGGTCCAGAGAGCACTGTGATTCACTGTGTCAAATGCTTTTGCAAAGTCAATGAATGCCATATACAGAGGTTGATTTTGTTCCCTGCATTTTTCTTGGAGCTGTCGTGCAGTGAAGATCATGTTGACTGTTCCTCTGGAGGGCTGGAAGCCATTGTGGGATTCTGGGAGGGTGTCTTCTGAGAGAGGTAGAAGGCGGTTTGCAAGGATTCCTGCGATGATTTTCCCAGCGGAGGTTAGAAGGGAGATACCACGATATTTTCCAAGTCTGTTCTTTCCCCTTTTTTGAAAAGGGCAGTGATGGTGGGCATCCTTGAAATCTGCTGGGATTTTCTCGGTCACCCACACTTTTAATAGGACATGCCTTAGTAGTTGTATTTATATTTTTAATGTACCAAACACGCCAGGTTTGTATGGAAATGTGACACTATTTCCTGTGCTGGTCAATGACCGAAATAAATGTTTTGATTTGATTTGGACATGCCTCTAATAGTACATGCCTGGCAGTTTCCACTTCCTCCAAATTGCATGGGCATGCTCACTCATGGCAAGGAATACCTGTATGGGAAAGGAGTTTGACAGCCCAAGGGTTGTCTAGAGAGGCCTCATTTGCATCTCTAAAAACAGTGCTTGTAATGGTGGTGAGACTGAGAAAAGACATTCTCCTGATATTCTCAAGACTCTGTACTGGCTCTTATAGGGAAATGGTCTGGCAAATACCGTGAACTTAGGTACCATGTCCAGCTCCATTGAGTTCAATTATACTAAAGGACTGTGTGTACATACACAGTGGTGGAAAGTTTCAAAAAGTAATCATTTTCATGTCTGCAAAATTATTCATTTCTAAATAAACTTGCACAAACAATATTTTGCATGTTACTTGGGAAAATGTCTAAGCTGGTAAGAACTGTCGGCGCAGATATGTGTGCTACATGGCTCTGGCCATGCAACATATTCTAGATGCAGCCCTCCAGGCAAAAATGATATACCCTAATATAAGACATAATCATACTCCATTCTTACCAACATGCCATAAACAGAAGTACCATAAAATTTGCCTGTTTCTTACCTGAAGACTCATTCCCAGTTGGTTGTTCATGCAACATTCCCACAGTCATTAAGATAACAATAACCAAAAACACTGGAATCCTCCAAGAACCGGCTGCAGAAGCTGAAAAATAGTGTTTTCTTTCATAATTGGCACACTGATTTTAGATAAATAATTTGCGTAATGTGATAAGAAATGAAAGTTTAAAAACTCAAAAGGATCAAGTAAACTGTACTCATTGCAAATATACAATACATTATTGTGGACTAAGAAATTTAAAAATGAACATTTTGCAAAACTTCCCTCTTGTTCTAATGGAAATGTGATATACAGAATTGTAGTTTTTCTGAAGTAGAACTGAAAGATTCTGACCCCATAGTCATGCCAAAAGAATAGAGAAGGAGAAAAATTCATAAGGCTTGCCAGGCTAGTGCTCAATGTTATAAACCACGTTTTATCATTGCAGCCAAAAATACAGTGCACAACAAGAATTGTGAATGATCATGGCCTAACACTCAGGTCTCATTCAGACATAATAGTGTAATATGTGGTGGCACCTCTCGTCAAACTCATGTTGACAAGTGCCACACCCCCTTGAAGCCCTGTCTCAGCCGGAAGTCCCACCCCTCCAGCAGAAGTCCCTCCTAAACCGGAAGGACTGCCTTAATCCAGATGACAGGCATGCCTGGAAATGCTCCCCCCCCCACCACCACTCTTCGCCTTACCCCCATGAGATGTACAAGAAGGGGCAAGCCGGGACATGTTTCAGAGAAGCATGGCCTGGAGATGTCTATGGGCAAAAAGGCCCTGCCTAGCCCCATTCCTTGTGCTTGAGGAATGTGCAGCCTGGAGAGCGTATGCTTGCTCTTAGGCTCACACGTGGAGCCTCTGTGGGCCAATAGACATGGTTTTAGCCCCACGATATGACCTTGTGATTCCCTGGAGCCCATTAAAGGGCTAATCTATATCTCTATCTATCTATCTATCTATCTATCTATCTATCTATCTATATAATAAAAGTGAATGTTTGTATGTAGAGGGAGTTGTATGTGGCAGCGTTCTGATTGGCTGCCACTATGATATAATTTGCATATAGTTTCTAATTGGCCAGCCTCAACATTCTAACATTCAGATTTGTTCCCACTGTGGTATAATTTGCATATGGTTTCTAATAGGCCAGCTTCAACATTCTAACATTCTGAAGTGACTGAGAGGGAAAAAGTAAGAGTCTGAGGCTTTCAGGAATGGTGGGAGTTGAAGTCCAAAACACCTTGTGGCCCCCAACAATGACAGAACAAGACCAAACTTGGCACACAGACCCCCCCCCCCAAGGCCCACTCTACATCCTGCTGCAGTTTGGAGGAGAGTGGACCATGGATGATGGGACTTGCAGTACCTTCACTGACTTACTGAAACCACTGCGACCCTCATCCATTGAACAATCAAGACCAAATTTGGCACACAGAGCCCCCATGACCCACTCTACATCCTGGTGCAGTTTGGAGGAGAGTGGACCATGGATGATGGGACTTGCTGTACCTTCACTCAATTACTGAAACCACTGTGACCCTCATCCAATGACTGATCAAGACCAAACTTGGCACACAGAGCCACCATGACCTACTCTACATTCTGCTGCAGTTTGGAGGATGGACCATGGACGATGGGACCTGTAGTACCTTCACTCACTTCCCGATACCACTGCGGCCCTCAACCAATGACTGATGAAGACCAAACTTGGCACACAGAGCCCCCATTCACTACATCCTGGTGCAGTTTGAAGGAGGATGGACCATGGGTGATGGGACTTGCAGAACCTTCATTCGCTTCCTGAGACCACTGTGACCCTCATGCAATGACCGATAAAGACCAAACTTGGCACACAGAGCCCTCATGGCCCACTCTACAGTCTGCTTCAGTTGGGAGGAGGGTGGACTATGGATGATGGGACTTGCACTGCAACCCATACCAATGATTGATCAAGAGCCAACTTGGCACACAGAGCCTCCATGACCCACTCTACATCTGGGTGGGATTTGTGGGCCAATGGACCAGGGATGATGGGACTTGCAGTAGCTTTACTCACTTCCTAAGACCATTGCAACCCACACAAGGTCAGGGTGCCAAGACCTAAGCCCCCATGACCCATTCTACATTTTGGTGCGATTTGGAGGAGGATGGACCATGGAGCTATACTTCACCTGCACCCACTGAACCCACCCAACATTGGATCTAGACTAAACTTGGAGCACAGACAAACAATGCCTTTCTCAAATCACCCAAGCTGCGCCGGATACCCAAGCTAGTTACGAATAAATACGCCGAGTGAGTGAGTTTAGAACTGCCTCTGACTGGTTTCAGAGAAGCAAAATATGGAATAAACAGGTGCCCACTGATGGATTTTCTTTTTCTATTGCTGGCCTTATTCTCCCTGAGTTGTTTTTGGGGGAATGGAGACTACCTGCTTGTAAACTAAAAGGATGAGATGTTTTAAAACATTGATTCCTGGATCACCTACAATCAAAGAGCATTCTAAACCCCATCAACTATAGAATTGGGCCAAACTTCCAACACAGAACCCCCATGACCAACAGAAAATACGGTGTTTTCTGGTGGTCTTTGACAACCCTTCAGTATAGTATCATAGATTTGAAAGGGACCCCTAAAGAAGGACAATTATATGCTGCATGTTCCAGAGTAGGCAAACGAGACAATCTTTACATCAACACTAAGAAAACAACAACAAGAAATGCTGTTTACCCACAAGCATAAAGAAATTATACATATTAGAAATCAACACTTTCTCATTACATTATTTTCCAGATCACCAGACTGGGCCACTGCATTGTGTGGCAGGGGATGGCTAGTAACTTTATAATAATGTGGACTCAGGATGGCTTCCAACATAGTAACAGGCAAACATTCAATGCTTATATAAACAAAACTAAAAAAAACCCCATAAAAATTAAATAAAAGATAATACTAAATATTGTACAAGAAGTTAAAGCAAACAGTTGCATTAACTAATTATCATTAAAAGCAATTAAAAAACCAGCTGAGGTAAAGTGTCATATCAGTTTCCTTTCGCCTTCTCTCAGGCTTCTCCTCCTATTGACGCAGCCTAGAATGGCATTGGCCTTTTCAGCTGCAGCACTATACTGTTGCCTCGTGGTTGACTAAGACGCCTTTCATAGAAGCTTAGAGTTGGAAGGGACCTTGAAAGGACCATCTAGTCCAGGGGTTCTCAAACCAAGGCCCGGGGGCCAGATACGGCCTTCCAAGGTAATTTGCCTGGCCCTCACTCAGGGTCAACCTAAGTCTGAAATGACTTGAAAGCACACAACAACAACAACAACAACAACAACATCTCATCAGCCAAAAGCAGGCCCACACTTCCCACTGAAATACTAATAAGTTTATATTTGTTAAAATTGTTCTTCATTTTAATTATTGTATATTTTAAGAGTTTTTTGTACTACAAATAAGATATGTGCAGGGTGCATAGGAATTCATTCATATTTTTTTCAAATTATAATCCGGCCCTCCAACAGTTTGAGGGACTGCAGACTAAAAGTCAATCCTGCAAACACTGAGATACTCTGGCCCGGCCAGCCGCCAAAATTAACCCAGTCTCTGCCTGATATCGATGGGGAAGCTCTGGTTCCGTCTGCCACTGTTAAAAGCCTTGGGGTTGTGTTGGATTCATCGCTGACGATGGAGGCCCAGATCACTGCCATAAGTAAGCAGGCCTTTTCTCATCTTCGCCAGGCAAGGAAATTGGCATCCTACCTTTCGGTAGAAGCATTGGCAATGGTAATCCACGCAACAGTCACCACTAGGTTGGACTATTGCAATGCCTTATAGACTGGCCTTCCGAAGTCAACGACCCAGAAGATTCGGATGGTCCAAAATGCGGCAGCCAGGCTGCTAGCGGGATCATCTATAAGATCCCATATTACACCGATTCTGCAACAACTGCATTGGCTACCAATAGAACATCGGATCTCTTACAAGATACTGATCCTGACATTTAGAGCTCAAAATGGCCAAGGACCTTTATATCTTAGGGACTGCCTCATTCCTTTTCCCCATCAGTGGTCACCTCGATCCACCCAGGAAAATCTCCTATACATACTGGGTCCTAGGGAGGCACATTTGGAAGCTACAAGGCGTAGAGCTTTTTTGATCTATGCCCCAGTTCTGTGGAACTCATTGCCTCCATATATTAGAGCAATGTTGGAGTTGCAACCTTTTGTAAAGGCGCTCAAGACTTGGCTGTTTGGTTGTGCATTTAAGTAACCGGATCAAATTTTGCCATAGTCATTGCTGAATGTTTTTATGTTGAATGTTTTTATGTTGAATGTTTTATGTTGAATGTTTTTATGTTGAATGTTTTTATATTGAATGTTTTATATTGTGTATAAGCTACTTTAAATTGTAAGTCGCTCGGAGCACTTTGGTGGAGAGTGACTAATTAAGAAATAAAGTGATGATGATGATGATGATGATGACTGTGACCTGGCCCTCTGTTTAAAAAGTTTGAGGACCCCTGATCTAGTCCAACCCCCTTCATTTTGCCTTCATGCAGGGAAAGCACAGATGGCCATCCAGCCTCAACAATAATAATAGTAATAGTAATAGTAATAGTAATAATAATAATAATAATAATAATAATAATAATAATAATAATAATAAATAGTTGGAAGAGACCCCTTGGGCCATCTATTCCAACTCCCTTCTGCCTTCATGCATGTAAAGCACAATCAAAGCATCCCTGACAGATGGCCACCCATTCTTGATAATGATAATAATAATAGCAACAACAACAGAGTTGGAAGGAACCTCTAAAGGCCATCTAGTCCAACCCCCTTCATTCTGCCTTCATTCAGGGAAGGCATAATCAAAGCATCCCTGACAGATGGTCACCCAACCTCAATAATAATAATAATAATAATAATAATAATAATAATAATAATACCCTTCTGTCTTCATGCATCGAAAGCACAATCCAAGCACCCCTGACAGATGGCCACCTAGCCATAATAATAATAATAATAATAATAATAATAATAATAATAATAATAATAGTTTTCACCTCCTGGCCCAGGAAGTTAAGACAGGCAGGAAGGCAGGCAGGTCTCTATGAGCAGAGGTCCTCCTTCACTGCGCCTGCTGCGTCCTCTGTGTCCAGTACAGGCCAGTGTGAGGAAGGAGGCCAAAGGCGACCTTTGGGAGCAGCGTGGTGTAGGCCAGACGCTCCGTCAGGATCCAGCTGGGCCCAGGAAGGACAGAAGCAGCGTGAGGAACGAGGGTGGAGGCGGCCTCGTGGGAAGTGGCAGCGGGCATGCTCACCAGCCGCTTCACTCAGCCAGAGGTGGCTTCGCCAGAAGTGAGGCCGAGTGAAGCTGGCTGAGGAGGCCTGTGCTGGCCTCCACAGCCAGCTTCACTTGGCCTCAGAGGGCGGTGGCAAGCGTGCTCGCCAGCTGCTTCATTCAGACGGAGGCGGCATGCGGTCTCGTCAGAAGCGAAACTGAGTGAAACCAGCTTCACTGGGTCTTGCTTTTGGCAAAGGCTCCTCTGGCCGAGTGAAGCGGCTGGAGAGCGTGCCCACTGCCACCGCTGCTTCCCACAAGACTGCCTCCAGCCTCCTTCCTCTTGCTGCTTACTTCCTTCCTGGGCCCAGTTGGAGCCCAATGGAGCATCTGGCCTACACCACGGCATTCCCAAAAGCTAAAGACAGAGGTGGTTTTGCCAGAAGCGGTGGCAGGGGGCATGCTAGCCAGCTGCTTCCCTCGGCCAGAAGTGGCCTCGATGGAAGGCTGAACATGGAGGCCCAAGGCTCACCTGGGGGCTCCGTGACCACAGCCGCCGTTTGTCCTTCCCCTCCTCTTCCTCCATGGCTAGCAGGGAGGCTTTTTCAGCCAAAAAAGAGCTGAATAACTCTGCTTAATATTTGAGTATATACAGTATTTTAAATTGTGTTTTTATCTTAATGGATTGTTTTGCTTTTATGTTTTGTGGGCATTTTGGCCCATTTGTAAGCTGTCCCAAGTCCTTCTGAGGAGATGGTGGTGGGTATAAGAATAAAGTTATTATTAAAGTTATAATGCCAAACTATGATCAAACCTAGTCCTGTTCAATATCTTTATTAATGACTTAGATAAAGGTTTAGAAGGCATGATCATCAAGTTTCCAGATGACACCAAATTGGGAGGGATAGCCAATACTCCAGAGTAGGGATCCTCAAACATTTTAAACAGAGGGCCAGGTCATAGTCCCTCAAACTGTTGGAGGGCCAGATTATAATTTGAAAAAAAACAAAACAAAACCATGAAGGTATTCCTATGCACACTGCACATATCTTATTTGTAGTGCAAAAAACACTTAAAAACAAAGCAATAATTAAAATGAAGAATAATTTTAACAAATATAAACTTATTAGCATTTCAATGGGAAATGTAGGCCTGCTTTTGGCTGAAGAGATAGGATTGTTGTTGTTGTTGTGTGCGTTCAAGTTGTTTCAGACTTAGGTTGACTCTGAGCGAGGGCTGGGTAAATGACCTTGGAGGGCCGTATCCAGCCCTCAGGCCTTAGTTTGAGGACCCCTGCTCCAAAGACAGGAGCAGAATTCAAAATGTTCTTGACAGATTAGAGCAGGGGTCCACAAACTTTTCAAACAGAGGGCCAGGTCACAGTCCCTCAAACTGTTGGAGGGCCGGATTATATTTTTTTTAAAAAAAGAATGAATTCCTATGCACATTGCACATATCTTATTTGTAATGCAAAAAAAAAAAACCCACTTAAAAACAATACAATAATTAAAATGAATAACAATTTTGACAAATATAAACTTATTGGTATTTCAATGGGAAATGTGGGCCTGCTTTTGGCTGATGAGATAGGATTGTTGTCGTCGTGTGCTTTCAAATAATTTCAGACTTAGGTTGACCCTGAGTGAGGGCCGGGTAAATGAGCTTGGAGGGCCGCAACTGGCTCCCGGGCCTTAGTTTGAGGACCCCTGGATTAGAGAGATTGGCCAAAACTAACAAAATGAAGTTCAGCAGTGACAAATGCAAGATACTCCACTTAGGCAGAAAAAATGAAATGCAAAGATACAGAATGGAGGACACGTGGCTCGAGAGCAGTACGTGTGAAAAAGATCTTGGAGTTCTAGTGGACAACAAGTTAAATATGAACCAACAATGTGATGCAGCGGTAAAAAGCCAATGGGGTTATCAATAGGAGTATAGTGTCTAGGTTCAGAGAAGTCATGCTACCCCTCTATTCTGCCTTGGTTAGACCACCACAATAAAGAGAGATATTCACAAGCTGTAATGTGTCCAGAGGAGGGTGACTAAAATGATCAAGGTTCTGGAGAACAAGCCCTATGAGGAGCAGCTTAAAGAGCTGGGCATGTTTAGCCTGAAGAAGAGAAGGCTGAGAGGAGACATGATAGCCATGTATAAAATATGTGAGGGGAAATCATAGGGAGGAGGGAGCAAGCTTGTTTTCTGCTGCCCTGGAGACTAGGACGCAATGGAACAATGGCTTCAAACTACAAGAAAGAAGATTCCATCTGAACATTAGGAACTTCCTGACTGTAAGAGCCGTGCATCAGTGGAACTCTCTGTGGTGTGGTGGAGGCACCTTCTTTGGAAACTTTTAAAGAGAGGCTGATGGCCATCTGTCAGGGGTGCTTTGAATGCAATTTTCCTGCTTTTTAACAGGGGGTTGGACTGGATGGCCCATGAGGTCTCTTCCAACTCTATGATTCTATTATTCTAAACCCTATTTCACCATCTTAAATTTCAGCAACACCAAATTATGGTCTATCAACACAGGGCAGAAATCACAACACACAAAGTGTGCTATCTCAAGACTAACTTGAAGTCCCTTGTTGTGTTTTGCTTCATAATGTTATGCCTGAACTAAGCCCAAATTATTATATTTCAGTTATATTATATTATATTAAATTATTATATTTAATAATTTTGAAACAATAAAAAGCAGAGCCCGAACTGAAGCTGAGCTCTTGCATACTTGGGAGTGCCATCTATTTTTTATAACAAATTGTATCTTTAAAACATTATAGAAAAACAGACCTTTAGATTGGCAACTCCACTATATTCATAATCCAGAACAAACAATCAGTACAGATCTATTCAACAATAGCTTGTTTATCTGTTTTGATGTACAAATCACATACTTCATTACAGTCTTCAAACTTAAGATTGTTATCAAATAGGTTATGGTAATATTCTGTCCTGTGCTTCCTTCAGTTATTTTGAGTATTCCCTGCTGAAACAATGTGGATGTTTTATGTTCAACAGTGACAATATGTGGACTGACTGTGACCAAATTCGACATTTACATTCAGGTTTACATCCTAAATTTCCATGAAAGCTTGACACAATTAGTAAAATATGGTTTTTTTTCAGTAATCTGCCTCGGTGGAGCACAATTTAAAGTAAACCTCAAGGATTGTAGATGCTACTAGTCAAACTGTTGTTTCATCCAAATTACAAGTGAAATCAACAATAGCAGGTAAAATCGTGTGCAAGGTTATCACAACATTCATAAATCTACAGAAATGTTTTATATTTGTAGATAACAATATGCACTCACTCACCCAAATGGAAGAGCAGTATAATCCAGACAGGAACAGAAATTATTCTTAAGTAACGTTCAGTGCTTGGATTCCACTTGAATAACACAATCAATAGATAGCCTACTATCAAGGTCCATATCTTAACAGGGAAAAGAAGGAAAACAACTATCAGAGCTAAATCCTAAAAAACTGAGTTTGATATAATTTTACCAGGGAAGGGGAGACTCAACTGATATACCTGTTGCTTTTATCATCAATTTGATGCTGTTCCCTAAATGCGACAAAAGAATAGCAAGAACCAAGTTTTACTCTTACAGAAGTGAAAAAAATGCTGATTTGTTATTAGTAAATGATTTTTCTAGCTATTTTATATACTATAGGGATCAAATTTTTAAAAAATCAGCCAAAAGGTGGAAACATTTAGGAATCCTGATTGTACTCTATACACTACAGTCTCTGTGTGTACTCCCCTAACAAAATACAGCAATGTGAACCAGACAGCACAAAAATGCCAAGAGAGTTCCTAAAGAGTATTTATTTATTTATTTATTTATTATTTGAACTTATATGCCGCCACTCCCCTGGGGCTCGGAGCGGCTTACAAGAACAGGCTAAAATTGAACACAATTTAAAAACAATTTAAAACAATTTAAAAACGGCAATGAGAGATCAAAGGCCCGTCGAAACAGATATGTCTTACATGCCTGCGGAAAGCTGATAAGTCCTGCAAGGCACGGACTTCAGGTGGCAGAGTATTCCAGAGTGATGGTGCCACTGCTGTAAAGGCTCTGCGTCTGGTTGCTGTTAGATGCAAGCTCTCGACACTGGGAATTTCCAACAAATCTTGGTCTTCAGAACGAAGGGATCTCTGGGGTTGGTAGGGGGTGAGGCGGTCCCTCAGGTACATCGGCCCCAGACCATTCAAGGCCTGAAAGGTGAGTACCATCACTTTGAAAGTGATCCGGTGCTCAGTTGGTAACCAGTGCAGCTGCAGTAAGATTGGTGTTATGTGGCATCTCATCAGAATTCCCGCAAGAAGCCGAGCAGCTGCATTTTGTACCAACTTGAGCTTCCGGATCACCGGCAGAGGGAGGCCAATGTAGAGGGCGTTACAGTAGTCCAGTCTTGAGATGACCGTAGTCTGGATCACCGTAGCTAGGTCATCCCTGGACAGATAGGGGGCCAGCTGTCTAGCCTGCCGCAGATGAAAAAAGGCGGTTCTGCTAACTGCGACCTGTGCCTCCATTGTCAGCAGAGGGTCCAAAAGGACTCCCAAACTTTTTACCATTGATGATGGGCGGAGCGCCTCGCCATCCAGAGTAGGCAGCAGGATATCCCCACTGCCTGGTTGACCCAGCCATAGGATCTCCGTCTTTGCTGGATTTACCCTCAACCTGCTGGCACGCAGCCATCCAGTAACCGTCTCGAGGCACTGATGGAAACAATCGGGTACAGAGTCCGGTCGGCCTTCCATCTTCAGCACAAGTTGAGTGTTATCAGCGTACTGGTAACACTCAAGCCCAAAATCTCGAACCAGCTGAGCAAGTGGTGGCATAGATGTTAAACAACAGAGGGGAGAGAATGGCCTCTCAGAGACCAGTCCTCCCCTCTCCACTTGCTGTCCACGGTTGTGAAGAAAGGAGGGCAGCCAATTTAAAGCTGTCTCCCTGACTCCAACAGCAGCAAGGCGGTGGGTCAAAAGATTGTGGTCAACTGTGTCAAATGCTGCTGTGAGATCCAATAACACAAGCAGCACCGACTCGCCCTGGTCAAGCTGGTATCGAAGGCAATCCGTGATGGAGACCAGCACAGTCCCTGTCCCGTGCCCCGCACGGAAGCCAGATTGGAAGGGATCTAGTCCGGCTGTGTCGTCTAGGAATTGTTGCAACTGCTCCGCTGCTGCCCTCTCAATCACCTTGCCCAGGAACGAGAGATTCGAAACTGGGTGGTAACTGGAGGAAACTGAGAGATCTAAATCTGGTTTCTTCAGCAGGGGAGAGACCACCGCCTCTTTTAAACCCTCTGGAACAACTCCTTGCTCAAGGGAGCTGTTTATGATCTTCAACAGAGGGTCACGCAATTCCTCCAGGCAGGATTTCACCAACCAAGAGGGACACGGATCGAGGGAGCAAGTGGTCGGTCTAGCTGCAGCTATGAGCCTGTTGACAGCCTCTATGTCCAGCGGGATGAACCGGTCGAGGATGGGCCCAGCAAGTGGCCACGGAGTCTCAAGTTCTCTCACTGTATCAATTGTGGCGGGGAGGTCCCGGCGAAGTAGCGAGATCTTGTCTGCAAAATAGCTCTGAAAATCCTCGGCTGAAGGGGGCTGATCACCACTTTTGGGGACGGTAGGAACCGTCGTTAGAGATCGAATTATTTTGAACAATTTTGCCGGGCGTGAGCTAGCAGACGCTATCAAAGAAACATAATATACTCGCTTTGCCTCGGTGATAGCAAGCTCATAGGACTCCCTAAATGCCTCATAAGCTGATCTCGATGCTCTGTCACAGAGTTCTCGCCACACGCCCTCTAGCCGTCTTTTTTCCCGCTTCATCAGTCGAAGTTCCTCGTTAAACCAAGGAGACCGATTTCGGCAGGGTCAGAGAGGGCGTCTAGGGGCAATCTCGTCGAGTGCATTGGATAGCCTGATGTTCCATGTGTCCACCTGCACATCGATCAAGTCGCTGGCAGGCTCCAGATCCCTCAGAGCATTCCGGAACCTACTGGGTTCCATAAGTCTCTTAGGGCGAGCCCAAATTGGCTCGGCGCCTTTGCAGGGTGGGTAGGCGTGCTCCAACCGGACTCTCAGAGCACAGTGATCCGACCATGGAACCTCTATAGTAGAGGCTTGGGTCAATTGAATTCCTGCGCTGAAAATCAGATCTAGCGTGTGTCCCGCCTGATGTGTGGGCCCAGTAATACAGAGCGAGAGTCCTAGTGTCTCCATGGTAGACACTAGGTCCATAGCTGCTGATGAACAAGAGTTGGCATCAGCGTGGACATTGAAATCCCTCAAGACCATAATTCTGGGGAATCTTAAGGACCATTCTGAGACAGTCTCCAGCAGCTGGGATAGGCTGTCTGCTGGTACGCTAGGCGCACGGTACACCAGCAGTAAAGCCATATTCTCAGAGGAATCCCACACCAGGCCAACACTTTCAATGCCAGAAATGTTCAGCACAGGAACTGCCCTAAGAGAGAAGCTTTCTCGGGAGAGCATAGCCACCCCGCCTCCCAGTCCGCATCTGGTGAGTGATTACATAACCTGGAGATGTTATTTCCTGGAATAGGATCTCATCCCCCTCTTGGATCCAAGTTTCTGTGATACACACTAGGTCAGCTCCCTGATCATTAAGAAAATCCCTGATAGTAGCAGTTTTGTTCCTTATGGACCTAGCATTCACCAACACCAGAGTAGGAGGGGAGGAAACTGGTCGCCTGTCACAGGTGTGCCTGGGGTTGTTGTTGGTTTATTTATGCAAACCTCACAGTTCCCCAAATCTCTTTCAACACTGTTCTATCTAGTCAGAAGTTCTTTTAATAGCATTCCAATATCAGTTTGCAACAGTATAGCTGAAGCAAACAATACAAAAAGGCCAGAGACGGGAAAATATAGGATTCTACTCTAACTCACATTACTTTATCTGCAGCTGTATGTGCCTCCACAGTCTCATACTGTTGTAGTAGAGTCTGCTGGCAATGTTACTACTGCTAGTGGGAGTAGTAGAGGAGGGAAACCAGGTGCCAATGGGTGGTAGAAGAACAACATAGGAAGAGAATTCGGGGATGTCACCCGCAGACGAAGACTCCTTCGAAGGTTTCTCAGAGAGTGAAATGTGTGAGGAGGAGGGAGATGGGAGTAGAGGTGTCAAACGGATTACTCGAGAGCAGGAGTCAGACGAAGGATCCAGGACATACTTTGTGCTCCCACTGAAGATGAGGATTTCATGGGCTTTATTGGAAGTAATGAGTTTGGCCGTAATGAGGATGAAGGGGAACCACTGGATTGGACTCAGGTACAAGAAGTCAGGAATGTGTGCATGCAACCCACATCCAGTGATACGTTTGAGGGTTTTTCTGGGGATTGGCAGTCTGGATATACCAAAAGAAACAACCATTTGTATGGACTGAGGAGGTTTAACATGCTTTTGAACAATTAAAGTCCAGTTTTGTCAATGGAAAGATCTTAGTACATCCTGATATTAACAAGCCATTCGTAGTTGAAGCAGATGCTTCAAACACTGCTTTAGGAGCTGTGTTGTCACAAGCAGATTGTTTTGGGAGGTTAAGACCTTGTGGTTTCTCCTCAAGGCAACTTTCATCTTTTGGACAAAACTATACTATATGGGAGAAAGAGTTACTGGCAATTAAGCTCGTCTTTTAGGTTTGGAGACATTGGTTAAAGGGAGCTAAACATCAAATTATTGTGCGTACGGATCATAGGAACTTTGAACGTTTACAGACGGTGCGTAAACGTAATCAACGACAGATTTGCGGGGCTTTATTCTTTTCCAAATTCAATTTTAAGGTGGAATTCGTTAAAGGAAAACAGAATGTTAGAGCAGATGCTCTGTCTAGAAAACCAGAATATAAGTCTGCAGCTGATCCTATTGTTAAGACTATGTTACCACTTGAATCCTTGAATGTCATGGATGATTCAAATGACTTGTTCGAACAAGTCACCAACAGCCGAAAGGGTGATACTTGGTCACAGGAGCAACTAACTCTGCTTTCTAGTGGTAATAAAACTGTGTTACCTAATTTACAGGAGCATAATGGAACCTTAGTACGTAATGGTCAATTTTATGTGCCAATGGGAAAACTACGGCTGGAAGTCATTCATGCTTATCATGATGAGCCAGCAGCAGGTCATTTTGGGAGATTCAAGACTGTGCAGTTGATCACACGGAATTATTGGTGGCCTAAGATGCGTCAAGACATACTAAAATACTGTGATAGCTGTGCTGTATGTCAACAGTGTAAGACTCCTACTGGGCGACCAAGAGGTTTATTATCACCATTACCCGTACCAGATAGGCCATGGCAAATAATCTCTATGGACTTTATTTCCGACCTTCCTAGAGAAAGAGGATTCACTTGTATCTGGGTTGTGGTAGATTTATTTACCAAAATGGCACA